CCTTGTCCATCACTCTGGTCCTTACTCCTTTCAATACAAAATATTCAGCTTTTAAAAATTACAGACTAATGCACAGTGGAACTCTTTGTCACTGAAGATAAAAAGTTGATTTTCTCTAAAGAGTAAAATACTAAATGAGGAGTATAATTTAAGGGAAATGTTTATGTGGCATCTAAAAGAACGGAAACCCTAAGAGTGTTGATTTATTAGGAATATAAAAATACTTCCTGCCAATTCTCAGAGAAAAAACAAATCAATGTCCCAGAAAGATTTGCTGCATTTTTCCCATGGGGTCTGTGCCCCCTGTCATATCATTCTAGACTCCCTTCTGAGAAACACAAATTTCCAGTCAAACACATGGAAACCAACTAACCAACCAAATACAGTCTACCACCTGAACCATAGAATCAATTTTTCTGTTTTCCCAGAGACATTATAAAGAGTTTAGGACTTCATATGTGGTCACCTAACCCCAATGTACTAAAGAAATCATTTATTTCATTATGAAAATTAGAGCTTCAGTTTTGGACCCTGGAATAGATCTTCTGTTTGAAATACCAGGCAATATAAGATGTGAAATTTTGAAACACTTTACTGAAGTATTTGGAAAGAAAGCAGAGGTAAATCTTCATGCATCAGAACTGGGCAGATCATTAGCCTTGGCCTGGGGAAAGGAGCTTCCCACTCCAGTTTATACAAAAGTGCCCTCACATGCTAAGCTGTGTAGTTTCTAGCTTTGTCTGTACAATGTGTGTCTTCTTCTGCTTTGTGTGAAAGATCAGTGTGAGCTACCAGCAGCCCTGCCTCTTATGCCCTAAGTTATCTTACAAAAAAAAAAAATGGAAGAAGTATGTGAATAAATGTAACACACATGACATTCACAGCCAAAGAAGTTTCTTCTGACAGCAGTCCTATTTGAATGTCTAGATGAATGACCAGTCACTTCCTAAAAGAATACAGGACCCTAGCTTGCCCATGGCTGTCGGTTCAGCTCCTTCACTTAACACGTTAAAGGTGGATGTAGTGACATCCAGAGCCCTTATGGTGTGGAGCATGATTCCCAGGTAGGTGCTAGTGCTCCGCCACCCGCCACGGTGAGTGCTGGTTCTCACCACTCATAGGCTCCCCTTCTCTGGAGAAATGCCCTTGACAAATGGCAGCCCCTGCCCCTGGCCCAGAGGATACCCCCACCCACTTCCTGGGGCACACTTCATCCAGGGACTGACTGGCTGGGGGGGGTGCAAATGGCTTTCCTCCACTTGCCTCAGTTGGGGACCAACTCTGGGGTACAGTCTATTCTCTGAGCTTCCTGGTGAGAGAATAATGATGCCAGCCTCTGGCTGGAACCATGGTCTCACTTGCTCTCCCTCCCCCTCCCCACCCCCACCTTGCTGCTCTCACTCCCCTTCTGAGAGTTATCCTGCAGGAAATCCCCTTCACAAGGGCCTCCAGCTCAGGATCTACTTGTTCAGAACCTGACTTAAGACAGTAAATGACACTGTATATTTATTTTACTATTATTACTAAAAGCATCATTACTGAGATGCATTACATAAATGTCCCAGGCTTAATGACTGACCAAGAGGGCTGTTCAGTATCCTAAAACTGATGTCAAATTCAAATATGAATATGCTGAAAATACTGGTGTGTACTAGTCATCTAATGCCAAAAGAAAACCCATTGAAAACTAAAAATGTGAAAGTTACAAAACTGAAAATCAGTATATAATTTTTAAAATTTCTAGGTATAACTAAATGTATTATTAATATAACAATAAAATGCTTAGAAAGAATCGATTTGATTTTAAGAATTGAAAAAGGACTTACTTTAAGGAAACTAATTTGCTGAATAAACTCTGGTTTTCCTTGAACATTCGCTCCTCATTTTTGTTTTGTTCTTGGAGATCTTTCACTTGATTATACAATTTTTCATTTTCCTTTTTATAAACAGAAAGTTACATTTTAGTTAAGTTACATTTTATTTAACTCAGTAGTACCTATATAACATTAGCATATCTGCTCATGAAAGATACAACCTTTAAATATTTTTAGTCTAATTTCTTCAGATTTTGAGTAAGCTTTAAAATCTTTTCCAAACTGTTTCAATTTTCTTGGAAGACAATTGCTAGCTGAAAACAATTCTTTCCAAAATGCTCAAAACACTTAGTAAACAACAAAGTGCAGAACTTCTCAAAGCCAATGAACCAGTCAGTATAATGTACTGCATTTCACAGTAAGTGGGCAAGTGACTGCAGGAAAAACCACGTCCCGATTTTGCATACCAGGGATGGAAAGGCCAATGGGGCTGTTTGTGTGATAGAAAAGAACAAACTCGACTCCATATTAGATCCGTTCCTTTGACTTTAACCCTGTGCCCTGTTTCCTAGGCTCAGTCTTGCCAGCTCTGCACCTTTTGTGAAACAATGTTGTCAATAGCCTGAAATATACAGGAGAGCCTATTCTCAAGGCTCTGACTTTTAAGGATATTAATGCATTTCCATTCACATAAAGATAACAAGTTGCAGAATACAAAATAACATTTATTTTGTTGGAGGTTTACTGGGGCACCATGATATGACCTACGTGGATAGCTGCAAGAACACAGGATTCCAAGAACAAAGAATTCCCATGCCAAGAAGTTTGCAACAACCAAGCAAGTAGGAAAGGAGCCTGAGTTCTGACTTGGGGAAGGAAGTTCTCCAGGACCTTAGTCTGCCATCTTCTTGGTCTGCCTGCTCTCTGAATGGCTTTCTAAATAAAGTAGCTATTTCTTTCCCCAAGACCCTGTCTCCTAATTTACTGGCCTGCTGTGTGGGGAGCAGAATGAGTTTGGACTTGGTGAAATTTGCATCTTTTATTCTGCTTTTGGCCCATCTTTCTGTGGTGAGGAAATTGGATGGAGCCACAGTGGGTAGCCAGGATTTTTTCTGGAACTCTCTGTGAGACTAGGTGTTTCTGGAAGATTAGGATGAGGCAGAGCAAAGCCTAGACCCAGCTCAGCAACTGGCTTGAGCTAAAGAGGGGCTCAAACAGTGAGATCAGGGGCAATCTGTGCTTAGATGTTTTGGCTTATTAACCTCTTTAAAATTAAGATTCTGATGAAAACCAAGGACCTTTGGGAATTTAATGAAACTTTGAACTGTCTTACCATGCCTGGCCTAATGCCTGGCAGATGGCCTGTGCTTAATTATCTGCAGAATTCTTAAAACACAGAAAAATACATACATATGTTAACATACAAGTCATGTGTTCTGTGTGTGTGTGTGAGGGGTGGCGGCACGCTCCACACAGCAAGCACAGAATGGCAGGCAGAGGGTCTGGATGGCTCTCACTGACTCTAGGGTTATGTGTCCTGCAAAATCAGTACCATTTCATTTGCAGTAAATGCTGTCATCTCTGATGCGGTAATGCTTTCTCTGGATGTCCCTGGAGTGAAAATGCTTCTTACTGGCAGGCTCAAGACTTAGGCTACTAAGAAAATGGTAGTGAGACAGAAGAGGGAGGGAGTTAAAAAAGGGATGGGAGTGGTGGGGAGGAAATGAAGGTGAGATCTCATGCTGGAGATCATCAAACCTGTCCTGCCTGCCTGTCAGGTCAGCGTCACCAAGATGCCATCACACAGAACAAATGCCTGACTTTTACAGGACACACATTTTCTCCCACTTTTAAGTCAAATTTTTTTTCAATCTCAGGGCATTGGCAATTGATTTCAGATTCATATTTCTGAATATAATATCAAAGCTAGCCAATATTATCTATTGAAAAACATTACAGAAAATGAAAGAAAAATAGGACAGTTTCTAAGGAAACATGGTTATAAAATTAGTAACAGGCAACACGCATTAACTGGTTACTGTGTGGAGGGCACTCAGGTTGGTCTGCACTGTCTTTTTTTTTTTTTAATGACTTAAATATATATAGTTCCTAATGTGGCTTTAATGTCACACAAGTGGCTTTTAAGTATAAAGCAAGAGAAAACAAGGGTAGCCAAGAAAAGCCCTCCTGGGCCTCTGTTCTCTGAGCCTGTGGAAGGCTGCATCGGCCCAGCCGAGCCCCAACAGGTGGGTTTAGCAGCAGCTGTGACAAAGACCCCGTGTCCCTCAGGGAGAGCCAGGGCATAGGCCCTGAGTCATCAGAAGCCTGGTTTCCCACGGGGGCATGGGCCCCTCTGGGCCCGTGGCTCACTACGCCAGTGAAAACCCCCTTAGTCCACATTCTTTTAACTCCGACTAGGGAAGGGGGTGATCCAGCAGGCAGGCCAGGGGCAGAATCAGCCCGCCTTTGCTGTATGGCTCTGAGAAACAGGCATTGTCTTATCTTAATTTCACAACCATTCTTATGAGACAGGAACTGTCAGTCTCATTTCCATATCACGGATGGGAAAACTGGCTCAGAGGGGGGATGTGATTTGCCTAAGACTTCACAGCAGGTAGTGAAGCAAAGCCTAAAGCCAGATTTTTTCAATCCAGAACCCATGCTCTTAACCACTTTGATTCTGCCCATGACAAATGCGCAGACCAGTCAATTGATTACTTCCTCTAACTGCCAGAATTCCCATTACCTGTTAAACAGACACAAATATTTTTAAATGCCTTATTTTTAAAACCAAAGGATCTCAAAGCAAACTGATTATGTGCTGAAGAAACATACCTGTTGACATCCCTGAACAAGTGTCTCTTTTTCCTATTTATTTGTGGATTTGCTTTGATTTTTCTTCAGTGACAGGAGCCTATGGTTCCTGAAAATGCAACCACCTTTGATTTTTGTTTGATTCTTCAAAACTACTTCATTGAGAAAATACAGAATTTTTTTTTTATTTGGAAAAGGAAATGATGAAGTGAGGAAGAATAAAAGAAAACAAAGTGCAGAGACCTAAACCTGTCTTACAACTGAGACAGGAAGGGGGCAGGGCACAGCCATTCAAGGAATGCTACAGCAATTAACATCAAAATGGTGAAAGATTCAACCCCCAGTAGGCCTTGAGGCTCAGGATGATAAGAGATTTAACTTCTAGTTGAATTTGAGTTCATTATATGGCCATTGTAATATATTAACATGGTGAATAACACACCCACAGGCACCGTGGCAATCCCAAGGCTAGCCACAAAAGGTCAAAGAGTGGAAAATGGCCAGCTTCCTGGGAATCCCAGCCCCTTCCCCTAAGACTGGTCCTTCCACTTATTAGCATATGAAGCCACCAAGCCCAGGAAAACCAGCAACGTGGCGCCTCACGGCCTCTCTCTCTCTCTCCCTCTTCTGAGAGGGCCCGCATTCTGTCTATGGAGTGTGTACCTTTTAATCTGAGCACCAACCCCCCACACCTTTTGGCCTTTCTCTTGCCTTTCAATGTATCTCTCTGAATAAATCTACCTTCACTCAACTGTGGCTCACTCTTGAATTCTTTCCTGCATGAAGCCAAGGACCCACACTTGGCGGGGCACGTCCCAGGGGCTTAACTGAGACCTGGGACATACCCCTTCTCATGCCTCACATCTGTTTTCTTGCATCACAACCACACTGGAATTAGCTTAACATCAGCAACAGTTAATTCATTACAGGATGTTTTGTGCTGATGGTTCTGACAATAGAATTAACTCAAAAATGCTACACAGTGTCATTCTCTGAACTTAGCCTTTCTATAGTAATATTTCTGAAACTGTCTTCTTTGAAGGTCACCGTGAACTAAGGGATTTATTTTCAAAAAAGACTGCTATCAAGAGAATGATCAAAATGAGCCAATTTAAATTCTGATTTTTTCCCCAGGGGTTTGATTTAGGCCCTTCTGTTAGGAGGCACTCTCAGGAACCTTGTTGGTGTTTGCTGTGACAAATGCATCAAGTCAAAGAGCTGCAGGGACAGTGGATGACAGTGCATTTAGCAGGGAGGACTAAAAAAGTTAATTTTTCACAAATAAAAGAAAAATAGGACAATGTGTCTAGTACCTTGGTTCAAAGAATATAATTGTCTTGACTAAGTTTGAAGACTTCCTCTTCCTGCTGTCTTTGTAGTCTCTCATCTTAACTTCCAGCTCTGTTTTCTGAGAATGTGACTTTAATCCGCTCCCTGAGGGCTGCGCCCCTCTGCTTTTCCCCTCTGCTTGCTGAACGCTTTCAGACATAGTCAGTCCTGCTTCCTTGTTCCCACCACCGTATCCTGAAGAATCCTTTTAAGGAAAAGCATTACTTCAGTGTGTAGAGTTATATATTAGATTTGAACACAGGGGGTTAGGGAAAAATACCACAAAGAATGAAAATGACACAGTTAACAATGTTCTACTACACAAGAAAAATCAAGAAATATTCAATAGGAGTGAGTGATTGCAGCATCACTCAGTGCAGAAGAAATTTCATATATTTCATTATTTATAATTTAATTTCAACTTATAGACCATACAACCATTATGAATATTACTGTGAAATTCAATGCCTACATTTGGAAACAACACAGGAATCATTTTCTGTGGGGCCCTCAAGACTTCTCGGGGAGCCACACAGCTTTCCCCATGGGAAGCTGGAGCGGCAGCTTGGTGAGTCCTGCTTCAGATATTCCTAAATATCATAAACAATGGATAAAAGCACCACAAATACAAACTACATTGAATGTGTATTCAGCGATTATGTAACAAGAAGCACTAATAAAATGGAAGCGCTAAGACAAGTGAGGATCTCACAGCAGGCTGGTGCATAACAAGCGCCCCCATACAGCTGTCCCCCTGCATGCAGGACCCCTGCATGCAGGACCCCTGCCCGGAACTGGAATCTACTCCACCTGACGTGGAGGCCAACTGACCCAAGGCTCAGGTCAAACGACACATGGAGCTAAATAAATGTGAGGAGAATGTGGATGGGGATAATTTCAGGTTTCATCACTTTAAATAAATTACTCTTTTAAATGTTCACAAAATAACTAAAAGTATCTAAAAGAGGAATCAAACAGCAGCTGATAATTTTATGAAGCATTTTAGCACATTTTTCTATATAAAGTATGTCAAGTTATAGTATCACTGGAATAATAAAAATTTCATGGAAACTGTAACAACTAGTTTACGTTTGATTGAAAAAATAAATGATAATCCTGCTCTAATACTGTGATATCATACATTACATTAGAAAAAAATGTTACTCATGTATATTTTGGTCAAATTTTTGTCTTTTAAGTTATCTCATAAATCCCAAAACAGCAGAAATAGTTCTAAGGCCAATAATTATTCAGTTAATAATACAAAAAGAAAGTTTAAGGGAAATCTCTAGAAGAGATTCAGAGGCCTGTATTCAAACCCTACAGGTCCTGAACTGAATCCCCAGTGAATGTTTACCTGACTGCCTTTGAGGTAAGTGAAGAATTAAAATTTTAAATTTTTAATATAATTTCTTTAGGATGTTAACTTTTTAAATGCAAAGTTTACTTTTTTCATTAAAAGTGAAATAAATTGTTCTTAAAGATTTGGAAATTACAGAAAAGTCAAAAGAAGAAACAAGTCCCCAATAGTACCTCATCCCAAGATTTCCTTCAAATCTTTTCCAGGTTTTCCTTATAGAGTAGTAATCACATTTAATTGGATAGTTTGATGTAGAAGGTTTTCTGTAGAAATCTCTTAAAACATTCATAAAGGATCTGTTTGAGTCATTGTAAAATCAGGCCATTAACCCCTCCAAGTCACTGGAGGACCATTAACGTGGCCAGTGAAGGGGTCAGACCTGCCAGCATGGTGATTCTCCCCAGGACGGGGCAGTGGGAGTGTGGCAGGTGGTTGTTGCTCAAGCTGCAGTTAGCCAGTGCTTTTACACTAGAATTCTCCCTTCCTGAGTTCTTAATTTTGACTTCTCTAAGTTGTTATTTTCAATAATAGCACATGGACAGTATCTTTTCCTTTTATATAGGAAAGAAAAGTTGCTTAGATATAAAATTCAAACATGAAAACACTGCAGAATTTGGGACTTCTGAGCCCATCTTAAAAAAAAACAATGGATTCAAAAATTTCAGCCAAATGATAAGGCAATCAAAATAATTTCAGTATGGAGGAGCAATGGCTAATGGACTGGTGGAAAGCATTCTGGCTCTGTAATAAACAGAGCCAAGATCCATTTAAATAAACCCTTAAGGGAATTACAACTGCTGGAGAGAATATAATTAATATATTTATTATAAATAATATAATCATATGTAAATATATATATGTAACACATGTATTATAGTATATAATGTAAATTTATAAACAATATACTTATTAAAAATAAAACAAAAATGGTAAAAGTCATGAGAGTAGGGGATGTAAGAGGTTTACTACATATTTAATAAAAAGGAAAATTGATAGTGTTTAAAATTGGAAAATGCAGTTTAAAATAACAATACAGCTTTGGCAGTCTTTCAGGGGTTTTCATAATCTATGCTCTTGAAGGGACCTTTTGGGATGCAACATTTCTCAGGGTGAAGTTTCTTTTTCTTACAGATTCATGTAAAATGAAATCTATTGTTTTATTTAAAAGAACTGGTAAAGTGTGATCTGTTCTTATAAAATGCTTTGTTCATCTTTATTTGTCCACATGCCTGCCTTTCTCCTTCCTTCCAGCTCTCATCCCTGCTTCCTTCCATCTGCAGAAGGACACACGCACAACAGGCATGGAATGAGGTTCACACACTGACACCAGCTGTTTCTGGCTAGATATTGCTTCCTTTTTACTTTTCTGCATTTTTGAATTTAAATAATGAGCAACTATTCCTTTTGTGACAATAAACATACTAATCTAAAAATAAAAACACAAGTGTCGACAGTCAAGGAAAATTAATTTAGAAGAAAAAGCAAAATCACCACATGGCAGACACTGCTAGCTGACAACCTCCTCTTCCTCCCCACTAAAATTTTGCCCTGGGCAGCAATGTGCCAGTTAAAAACACCCCTCTTCCTGGACTCCATGCACCTGGGGTGGAGCAGGGCGCAGGGGCACAGGATCAAAGTTCTGACCAGTAAGATGAAAGCAAAAATTTCCAACACGGGGCTTCCAGGACAGCGACTACTTCTCTGATTAAGCTTGTGAGTTAATGGGCATGGACTTTTTACCTCTCACCTTTCTTCCTCCTGACAGGCCTGGAGGTTGTGCAGCCATCTTGTGAGAAGGAAGATTAAAGTTGCAGACTAGGGATTGTGCAGCAGGAAAAAAGGAGGGCTCCTTGCACAGGTGCACCAGCTCTGAATTAACTGGCCCGGGCTTCCTGGCTACGTGAAAAAGAGAAGCCTTCGAACTGCGTCAACCCCAGTCATGAGGGGCTGCTCCCTCGGGACCAGTGCTGATGCCAAGCACGTTCTCTAGACTTTCTGTGCGCTCACCTCTGGCTCAGAGTCTGCTTCTCTGACACCCAGCCTGTCACAAGTAACACCAACCCCCAAGGAATTCCAGTTCTTTGGAATAAAACTAAAATTGCTCTGGGCAATTTTCCAACAAAAAGTCAGAGATTTAAAAAAAAAAATCCTACTTAACAGAGACTCTAATGAGGAAAAGTAGATCAACACAAAAACAGACAATCACAGTTGGCCATCGCACTTTAATAAGTATGACTTGTAGTGATGTGTTTTTATTTATTTTGGCAGTCGCAAACACTATGACATTTTGAAATCAGGGAAAATGCTCATAAAAATATTGTTGCCTTCACCTATCAACTTCTATGCCATCCCCCTCATTTCCATCAACTATGACCTGACGTCTGGCTTCACTCTTAGTAATTTCCAGCTGCGCACCAGATGCCCTTCAACTTCCTCCCTGTGGGCGTCTCTCCGCCCCAGCCGCTCTCTCCCATGGGCTTTCCAGGTCTTTTTCTGTTACCGGTAATGCAACGACACCCAAACGTCAGTCTTAGGCATTTACTCTCTGGCAGTCCTACCCCCCACCAGGTGTACCCTCTGGCACCTGGATGCCCACAGTGCTTGGGCCCCCAGGACTCACTCTGTTGATCCTGTGTGCCTCACACTGTCCACACCCCTGATGTCTCTTCTTCCTTCATGACTCCACTTATGTCCCAGACACATGGGCAGCTCCTTCCTGCTCCTCTCTTAGTCCACTGCACTCACTGGGCAAAAACCACTCCTCTTGGTAAATCCAACTACACAACTGCCAACACCTGCAGTCGTGCAGGAGAAAGTGACTGTACACACACACACACACACACACACCCTGCCTGCCTGGTCCCAGCTCACATTCATGGTCACCAACCTGGAGCAGACTTCCTGCTGCTGGGAGCCCAGCCCTCCAGGAGAGCCTCCCCACACCTGCTCCCCTCCAGCACCCCAGCCGCAACCCCACTGCCACCTCATCACAGCACATTTTACTTGTCAGAGGAAGTGGAGGCAACTGGAGGAAACCACCCCCATCTCTCACCACTTCTACCCCTACCAGTACCCAGACCCACCTCTCCCCTCCTCCTTTCTGCTTTTCCACAGATGAGCTGTCCACATTCCCACCTGAAGCCCACCCTCCCACTGTGCTCTGGACCCCATTACAGCCCCTCCACGTGAGGACTCTGCTGTACGACTCCCCTCAACACGCACTTCTTCCTGGCTACTGCATCTTTCCAAATGCACATCCTATTGTTCATTCATACCATGCTTTCTCTCATTAAATTCAAAACAAGGCAAAACAAAAGGCTTCCCCTGACTCCACCCCCCTGCCAGCTACTGCCCCCTCCCCCCACCTTTTACACCCTTTCCTCCAGGGGGTCTATATCTCGAAGTAGCCAATTCCACTTCTGTTTCCACTCAATTTGCCTTTCACAGCCACCTGCCCACGGAAACTGCTTGTCCAATGCTGATGGCCTCCTTCCTGCTAAACTCCAAGGTCAGCTGTCAGTCCTCATTCTCTCTCTCAGCAGCAGCGGACACAGCAGATCATCTCTCCTCTATATACTCTCCCCACGTGGCCTCAGGAGTGCACATGCTCAGGTTTCCCCAACCTTGCTCTGCCCTTGCAGGTTAGCCCTCTCCCTCCTGACCTCTTTAGGTCAGCACGCCCCGGGCTCAGGCCTTGGTTTGCTTTTTCTCTCCAGATATGCTCCCTTGATAATCTTTGTCAAGTCTCAGAAAACATTATGTGTAATGAAGTAAGTCAGATTTTGAAAGATAAAAACTATACACACTTACATGGGGAATCTCAAATATAATACAAATGAACATATACAAAAACAGAAAGACTCACAGACAGAAAAGAAACTTGTAGTTAACAAGGGGAGGTGGGGGGAAGGATGAATCAAAGGTATGTGATTAACAGACACAAATTACTGTATATAAAATAGTTAAATGACAAGGATTTACTGTACAACATAGGGAACTCTACCCAATATCTTGTAAAACAACCTGTAACAGAATATAATCTGCAAAAAGACTGATTCACTTTGCTGTACTCCTGAAACTAACATAGTACTGTAAATCCATTATACTTCAGTTAAAAAAACCCCATGGCTTCAAAAATATTCATTTTTAACAACACTTGATACCTACAGTCCATACCTCCCTCTCAACTTCAGACTCCTCCATCTAACTGCCTCCTTGCCATCTCCACATGCACACAGAACAGGCATCTCAAAATTAGCATCTCAGCAGCTCAACTCCTGGTCATCTCTCCACCCCCAAGCCCATCTGGAGAGGAACTGCACTCTTCCAGCTGCTCAAGCCACAAACCCTGCCATCACCCATGATGCCTCTCTCACAACCCCAAACCAGTCTTTTAGACTTTCAGCTCTATCTTCTAAATACATCCCTATCCAACTGCTTCTCATTTACCACCACTGCCACCACCCTGGATCAAGCCCCATCACTGCCAGCCCAGATTCCTCAAATCCCCTTTTAACTGGTCTCTGTGCTTCTTCCTGTGCCCCTATGAATGCATACAGTCAATGGCATCAGCCCGAGGAATCTGTCTAAAGGATGTATCAGTTGAAGTCACCGCCATGCTCACAACTTCCCAGGTGCTCACCTTTCCACACTGAGTGAAAGTCCAAGGCTGCTTCATGCCCTATAAAAGCTGACCGTGCCTGTCCCTGTGATGCCCCAATCTCACCTCCCCCTCCCCTCTGCCCACTCTGCCCCAGCCATGTGGGCTTCTATGCCGATCCCCAAAATGCCAGGCATTCCTCCTTCTTTGGGACTTTTGCACTGTTTCATTTTCTGGAATATGCTTCCCACACACACCCACACAGCCAATTCCAATTCCTCCTACTAGTCTTTGTTCAAAGGGTTCTCTCACCGAGGCCAACTCTATTTTAACTCAAATGGTGACCTGCTGGACTCCACCACTGACACGCTTGCTCTGCTTTCTATTTCTCCTTAGAATGTAACATCATTTACTGATTTGTATGCTCATTGTTAAGTGTCTGTCCCTTCTCATTAGATAACAGCTCCACGAGATGTGGGAGGGGAGGTGGCACTGCCTTGCTTCCAATATACCTAGAGGGCCTCCAGCAGTGCCTAGACCCAGGTCAGTGCTCAAAAAAACTTGTTATATGAGTGAATTTGGATAAAGTAAACTTCAGAAATGTTGGGAGTTAGTTTATCTAAAATAAATATAATAGAGTAAATAATGTTAAAAATAAAATTTCATTCTCTTGTTCTCAAAGGTACAGACAGAATGAATACTCCTAAAACATTAATGAAAAACTTACACTCCTCTTGATGATTCTAAAATTTGGGAAATACTCCCAAGTATTTTTCCTTAACATTAAGCACTAGATCCAGTGGAGAGTTAGTTATTAACAACAATGAATAGATGACAGTAGCGCAAAAGCAGGTGTTCCATAGAAAAGGAAGAGAAAGTAAGAGAACACAAGGCGCCTGTTAGGGGAAGGGATCTGAGGTCCCCACATTAAGAACAGGAGAAAAGGATGCTGCATTAAGCAACAGAATGATTCCTGTGTGCACAGGCCACTGCTCCTGCTGCTCTCCTGCACGCGGAGAGACGAGTCTTAGATCTGACACGCGCAGGCTGCTGCAGCGGACGCACAGCCACGCAGACAGAAGAGACTTCAATGCTGAAAGAATTCTAATAGAGTCCAAGTGGTCCTGGGATGGATCGCTACAGGGAAAGGCAGGGGGGGCGCTTTAAGCAGGAAGTGATATTCCCAGTGAGGCTAGCTCTCCTCTGTCACAGCAGGCAGCAGCGATGGGCTTGGTTGCCTATTCAGCTGAACCACAAAGGAAAGACAGGGTGCTTCTGGCTCTACTGCCCTCCCATCCCCCCGGAGTCTAAAGGCAGCAGAAACACTCGTCTGACTTGAGCGTTTCTATCCCTATTAATAGTGGCATGGGCTCCTGCGTGGGAAACGACCCTTTCCTCCCACCAAGATGGATGACTCCATCAGGAAATAACTCAGAGAGGAACTGGGATGTATAAACTCATGCAGGTGACTGATAAAACATCCGGACTCCCCAACACTAGACCAAACTCACATCCAGATATTTCTCTCTGTATCCACCTTCATTTGTACGTTGCCCTTTGCATTCTGATTTATACCTCTTTTCTGGCAAACATTTTGGATATTACAAAGCCAACCAGATAAGGAGGGGTTTGACACTCCTATCTTATATTCACCTCCCAAATTTTCTGGGTCTCATTCAGGAAAACCTAGAATTAATGATGACAAACCCCCTGAACTGAAGTGAACTGAATCTGTCTTTCAGAGATGGAATGTAGCACCTTAAGATTAAATTTTTTCTACAAATAAGGAAAGTTCTCACAAGAGAAGGAAACAGAGAAATTAGAGAATAAGGAAAATAAAATAATACATTATATGTACTGAATTTTATTATGAAAATTATGTAATTACCTTTTTTCCTGGCTTGATTTGAGGCAGGGATGGATCTGAAGTTTTTGCTTTTTATAATGTCCTCTAAAGTTTGCAAGAGTAGAAAATGTCTTGAATGGTGAACTGGGTTTGCCTTAGCCTGAGCTCCTAACTGATGCATATAATCCACTCTGAGATTTTCTCTAAATAAAGGAGGGGCACGTCTGGCCTTCCTGTGTGATAGCTGTGTACCAGTCACAACTCCTCCTTCTCCAGAACTCAGCTGAGATCTAAGAGTCTGTGCACAAGTACAAATTCATCAGTACATAAACATCAGTTGACAGTTGTAAATATGATTTAACAGATGGCAAAACCATAGTGCTTACTGAAGAACACAGTTTGTAGAAGGTGAGCCATGACATTCAAGTTCTCCAAGCCTAATTCATCAGAATTTTAGTATTCTGAAGCATATCTTCAAAGTCAGGAACAAAAACAGCAAAATAATAAAACAAAATAGGCTTACCGGAAAGGAAAACATGTAATTACAAGAATGAACATGGAGGAGATTGGGGAAGAACACAGTTGAAATGACTTAAAATCTTATCTTTTTTCTCCAGATTTCTCAAGTTAAAAACTGCTTAGTACACTGTCTTCTTCCATAAGGAACTGGAGATAGTTTATGGTTAGTTTATGGTAAACACATAAGTCAAAATCATAAAATAAAAATGGAATACTGTGGTCATGAGTCTATAAAACAGAATAAATCAAGAACACAGAAAAAAGGAACAGAGATGTGTAAGTTTCTCAACAGCCGCTAACAGCATTTATATGAAATGCCAACTTACCTCCTTTTGCACAACACAGACTACTGATAAGATTGAATAAAAAGCATCAGAATAAACTTAATTTTCTTATGCTATTCAAATTCTGGACTATGTTTGTTTAAAAATTTTTAAATGTAAAAAAATGGCTTCTAAAAGAAAGCTAATGCAGTGGCATTTTAAAATCTGGGGATGACAGGGTGTTGTAACAGATAACTGCTCACAGATACCCAGGATCCACTTGGAGGTTAGTCTGTAATCAGTCCCGCTGGCTCACAAAGTACATACCTATCAGCAGTACTTATGTAACGTCATTTATCACTATGTCCAATCAATATAAACTATATACACTTGCCTTATGTATTTGGTCATCCTGGGGTAATAATCAAGGAACAACAAATATTTTTTTTCTACCAAATATCAAGGTACACTTTATCTATTTGTTCTTCCACAATATTTACTATTGGACAGTTATTTTCTGTACCTTCATTTGTTGACTTTTGTAAAACTATATGCTCTTCATTTCTGTCCAAAAATTGGTTCACGTTGTTTCTTGAGACATAACATTTGGATTCATCTTAAGGGATACAAGGATTAACAAATTAAGTTTCCTTATTCTTAGCCAGTTTCTTGTAGCTATGAAACAAAAGAAGACACAGAGAGTGAACCGTATATGAATCCTCAAATATTAGTTTTATTAATATATATGTATATACATGATATACATTGAAACATTTATATTATTAACATATAATACTATTAAATATATTTAATACATGTAACTCTTAAATTAGGTCATTAATGTTAAACATATTACAATTCTGTTTAACAGAGTATACTCACATGGTGTCACATAATTGTTTTAAATTTCAGATAAGAATTTTAATACAGTATAATATAAGGGATTTCGTGGTTTACTCAAAGAACTACTTCATAGTAAAGCCAAACCAAACAAGACAGATCGCTTTTGTTGAAGAAAAATAAAAAATGAATTTCTAAATGGTCCTTTTGTAGTATCTGTTATCCATATTATAACATCAACATACACTTGAGGCAGGAAAAACATTTCATACATTTCCAGTAGAAACTACAGAAGCAACCATAATTTATATCAATCAAGCATAGAATATAAATATTAAAATGCATGAATTTCATCATGGTATAGGAAAATCTTAAAATCACTAGGATTTTTAAATGAAATCATTTCTGTGGCTCTTGAGCCTGGTGCCCTCAGCAGAGTCTGAGAATGGCAGGAGAGGACAGGAAGTGTTTAAGTGCCAGCTACTACTGGCTATTGCTGACAAGATACTACGGGAAAAAGATGAGCTCAAGACAGAATGGGCTGGTCTTTAAAGAAGGAATCCAAGGGAACAGAGTCGAGAAACTCAGAGCCTCTTAGGTTCACTCTCTGCATCTGGACTCAAACAGTAAGATTCAGCACTGAAAAATGCTGTGAAAAAGCAAGATTTCATGAGAATTCTTTGTTGAAGAGTGATTCAGTTCCTTGGCAAATATCACATTAGAGGTGCCATCTTCAAACAAGATTATTGCTCCTCATAATAACCAGACAGCTGCAACTAAACTGAGAAAAAAAAAACCCTAATTTTCTTTAAATGTAGTTACTAGCACATGGGACTGACTGGAACCAAATTGATCAGAAGCCTAAAAAACTTTCTGAAGGAGCTGTAATGACAAAGATGACAAAGAAACCACAACTCTGCTTAAAAAAAAAAGGCTAGAGACTTGTCTGGCAGCCTCAGAACCACCTACCTGCAGGCAGAAAGCAGGCGGAGAAAAGAGTGCATTCTCAAAGATGGGTGCCCCCTCCTCCCGTTACCCACTTCACTTGAAGCCAGTGGTGAAGAAACACAAGACCACTGGAACCAGGAGCTACACGGAACAATACATTTATTAAGTAGTTCCTCCTTAAGAGCAGAATAATGGCCTAATTAAGGGAGAAATGCCCAACTTGAAGGTAGGGGGTCTTCATAAGGCCTTTCAGTGGATCTCAAAGCTGCACTGCTGATTGCTGTAGCTTCCTCATTCTTCTCCTTTCTGAACAGGAGTAGTCTTAGTCTCACCACCATATTGGGATGGGGAAGGAAGGACAAAACTTACCTTTTAACTCACTGATTAGTAGACAATGAGGAGCTACACTGAAACCTGACAAAGAGAACTGTGCTTCAGCTGGAAATCCTGGCCTTCCAGGTGGATACCTTTCTGAATGGGACTCTGGGTTGTTTGCTTTGGGGAGGGGCTGAGTAGGTCTTTGTTCAATGAAGAGTGGAATGGATATTTGGCTGTTAGAAGGGAAGTTTCTGGTAGAGACTGGCTAGACACCTACCAAATGTGTTTACATTTCTTTCTGGGCATATGAGCAAACCACACTTCCTAGCCCTCTTGAACCTAGTTTAGCTGGATGTGCTGGTTCTTACCAACACAATGTGGGCTGAAGGGAGGTAACACTCCTGTGATTAGGCAGTTAAAAGGAAGCGTGCTAACCATCTATTTCCTTTCCTTATTGACTGATGAGTCCAGGAGGACCTCAAAACCATGTGCTGAAGACAGAAAGTCACCTGGGTCCCTAAATGACTATGTGGAGCAGAGTCCCACCCCCAACTCCAGAGACACTTGGAATTATGATGTGAGCAAGACATAAGTAATTGATGATGTTAAACTACTAAAAATTTAAGGATTATTTGTTGCAGCAGTTAGGATTACTTATCCTATGGTTTACTAAAGAGGTTTTGGATATGTATACTCAACTTTCTACTACTGACATTCCTATAATTATTGCTATACTTTTAATGTAAGTATACTTGTTTTCAGCTTTTAAACACAAATGTAAACATCTCTATTTAGAATTCACATTATTAAAATTGTGTCAGTTATGCCAACAAAGACACAAAATGTGTAGAAAAATCCCTTCAATGATACAAGTATAGCCAGCCCCAAACAGCAGTGATAAGGGAGCCCAATCAGCCCCATAAAAACACTAACTAGCACCACAGATCGGGGAAGAATGCTAGACTTAGTGGTAAGTAGACAGGGTTTAGGGTAAGCTACAGCACATCACTTTCAACTAGCACACTCAATACAAACAAGGCCAGGAAATCACTGCATGTGGATTTCATGATGAGCTTGGGGTTCAAGGAGGGGCTCAAAAACTTGTCTGTTGAAAACACAAATGAACAAATAATACAAGAATGGATGACAGGCTTTTCACAGAAATATTCTACAGAGATCAAAGACCTGACAATCCAAGTGCATTGCTGAGTTATGGCCATGTGATCTTGAACAGTTTATTCAACCCCTTTAAGCCTAGGTTTCTCATCTATGAAATGGGAGAGATAATGGAATATATATATATCTCATGGGGCTGCTGTAAGATTAAATGAAATCTAACATGTAAAGAACCTAGCACAGTATCAAGCCCACAGTAAGTGAGGGGTAAAATGTTAGCTGTCATCATCTGGTTCTTGTGATGTGAGAGCCCCACCACCAAGTTGGTTCACCTCAGTTTCATCACTTGAATGATGGGGATAAAGACGCCTGACCTACTTATTGTGTGGATCTCATGAGATAACGGATGTGACACTTGTCTTATGACAAGGTTACTGTGACATGGTACCCTGTGCTGGTGAATGACAGCAAGGTCCCACAAGCTTCCATTAAAAGCTACTGGAGCTGGAATATTTTCACAAAGCCTGTTTATCTTGTGACCAAAGAACTCACCCTAGGAGATGATGGCTGGTCTGTGACTAAGTGCAAAACTAACTAGTTTAAAAAGAAGCAAATGGATGACTCATTTACAGAATAAAATCCATGTTCTCTCTTACCACTTGAATCAACTGTCCCTGAGCTATTAAAGCTGATGAGATTTTATTTTTCCAGTGAAAAGCTTTAAGATTACCTACCCAATGGTACTAACATTTTTAGGAGCATCTATTAAAAAAAAATTAGCACTAGAAGAATTTTGATAAACTAGATAAAGACTTGATAAAGACTAATATTAAGGGAAGAGAGGAGTGTCTCACAGGTAGACTCATACTAGCTACCTTTTAATCATTCACTAGGGATGGCTACACAGAACAAATGATGCCAAAAGTTTCCAGTGACAAAACAATAAATAAATAAACACCCTGCACAATCCATTCCAAAAAACTCTTACCTGACAGGTTGTAAATCAAAACCATCAACCCTAAAGGAATCTATTCTGATAGGCTTCATCAGCTTCTCTACCATGGGCAGATCTAAGGGGAGAAAAGTTAAAAACAGCAACCAAAAATGTTATGTAAACTGCTTAATTTAATGTCTACTACCACCAAAATTACACTGTCTCTGATTGACACATTAATAAAATGGCACATATAATAATCCCAGTTTCCCACTGTAACCTCCTTGTACAAGAAAATCTTCTTAGGTATTTATATTTGAATTATATATCTATATATTTTCTCTCCCTCCCCCTACACACATCAAATATATGAATATGGGTGTATACACACACACACACACACACACACACTATGTATTTAGTTGATCTCAAATACTGCTCTCTATTTAAAAAATAACTAGCATAAGTTCATGGAAAAGCATAATGTGAAAATACTTAAGTGATTTCTTAATTTGGGAAGACATACTATAGGAGGAACTGAAATTTTACCCTATGTTCAGCTCTAACTTTATAGTTAAACCAATGATTCCTAGATTCCATTTAAACAAACCCTATAAATCCACAGATTGAGAAACAATCACTACAGTAAATTGAATTTAAATTACACCACACTGGAACTGTTCAGAGAGGGTCTCAAAGGAAGCAGATTTTACCACATTCCATGGTAGAGATGTTTTTAGAGGACCCTTCATCTTCCTGAGGATGCTCTTTCACTGAGCTCTTGGTATTTCCCCCTGTATCACTCTCAGTTCCTTGTTCATCTGCATCTTCCCAAGAAAGGGCTACATGACAATACATCTGATGCAGAGTTTCAATGTCACTGCTGCTCTGTCCGTAAGAAACATCAATTGAAATAAATGTAATCTCTAGCATGACCACACAAATACATGAAAATATAAAACACTGTCATCCCTTAATCTACCCGAAATGGTGAACAAGGCTGTGGGACAATATGATGTGATAAAGACAGGGTGAAATATAAACTTGCTAGTATGTGGCACAGCCCACCAGCATGAAATCGCAGCAGGCTCAGTAACCCCTGTCAGAGGCGGAGATGCGTCCTGACGTGGCCGTTGTAAAATCTCACCCCACTAGTTACTGTCTCTTCCTACCACCCATAACCAATCTCTGTGCTGGAAAAAACTACTCCTAAATTTCTCAAACTGACATAATTTTGTAAGGACCTCTCTCTCCTCTGCCTCTTTTTCTCTCTTTGCCTCCCAATGCCACCAGGCATCTTGTCTTCTGTGTTTCTTCCACTGAAATTCAATCCTCTAACTTTGCCATCAAATATGTGTTCCAATATCCTGTGTTAAAGCTGCTGTAACAAAAAAATAATTTCCTAGGGGCCAAATCCAGCCTTTAAATTTCTTCAACTGTTTTAATTTTCTTCACCCTGTGAGACATCTGAAATGGCCCTTTCCCTGGGAACTGTTTATTCCATACAGCGCCTTCCTCTCCCCACCACTCTGATGGATACATCTCCATCTTTTATGGTACATTGCTCATCTCAGGACTCCATCTTTAACCCTCTTTTTTAAAAGCTCTCTTTGTAGGGAGGAGGGCTGGATAATTTCATCAAGACTCTTCACTTAATTATCACCCATATGCATGTGACTTACAAATCTATATCTTTTGTCCTTAATTCTTTTCTGAATATTAAATTTCCAAATAGACATTCAGGCTGTTCTATAAGTAAATCACATCTAACACAACCTCAAATGAATTAATTATATTCCCCAGCTGCGGGGAGCCGCTCGTGACGGAGGGCTGCCGAGCACAAAACTTGGGCGTAAAACCCCACAGTGCGGGGCGCCCGGCTCAAAGGTCAATTGAGTTAGAACAATCTCTGTCCCGCCACCCCTTTTACTAAAGAATGCACCAGGTGCGCTAATGCCTGAGGAAACATCTTTGAGCTATTAAGTCACAAAGGACCTTTAGAGGGAGAGATACAATCGGCACACAAATCAGTGATCTTTTAGAGAACAATCACCTGAGTTGAATGTATACGAGTCACGAGGTTAGGCCGTTGCCTACGTGCAGGAATGTATGAGCTAATGGGTCAAAATCATATAAAAGAACTGCTGAAAATAAACTCGGCATCCACTCTTGACCTAGCATCTTGCGGGCTAGAGTGAGACCCTCTCAACCCCAACTTGTCTTGTCTTGCTGTCTCTTTGTTACGTCTTTCCTTTTCTCAGTCCTGCAGCACAGGTTTCTGGACCTGATCGATTGTCGGCTGGCTCCGACACCCAGCAAAACCAGTTCTACTCCCAGGATCTGCTGTTTTAGCCATTGCATGATTACTCACCCAGTCATCCACAAGAGAAAACCTGATGTCACTGTTCACTCTTCCATCCCTATTAAACTCCTCCCCTTTCCACCAAGAAACAAACTCTGGAAAAAAGAACTCAAAGGACCTAATGACAATAATGATCTAAGATTTTGATAAGTCTTTTCTTAACTCATTTTGTACCTTTCATTAATAACAGTGGAATTTTCAAAGTTAGAGAAAAGAATAAAAGTGTCATAGAAGAATGGGAAAAAAGAAGAGCAGGGTGACCAGTCTCCTTTTCTCCTGATATCCATGACTAAGTAATTAATACCTAAAAACGAAACAGTATATACAGCCTCCTCTTCCTCTACATAATCTGTGAGTTGCACAGTATAAAATTCTGAGGGACTATTTTCAACTCTAAACTTAAGATATAGCCAAGTCCTACATGTGGCTGTGTAAGAATGCCTTACGATGGGCTATCTTTCTACCTAATGCTTCAGGTTGTAATAGAGAAGAAACCTGACAACACATTGGATCTGTTCTGAGTTTTAATCACTGTGCCCTGTTTTCTAGGCTTAGTCTTGCCAGCTCTGCACCTTTTGTGAAACAATGTTGCCTTTAGCCTGAAATCTACAGGAGAGCCTATTCTTGGGGCTCTGACCTTTAAGGATGTCAGCACTTTCTCACTTATGTAGAGACAGCAAGTTGCAAAAGAGAGAATAACCTTTGTTTTGTTGAAGGTTTACAGGGACACACATGGACGGCTGCAAGAACAAAGAATTCCTGCATCAAGAAGTTTGCAACAATGAACCACACCCCCTCCTCTGTGGTTTTTTGTTGTTGTTGTTGTTTGTATAAAAGGAGTCTGTATTCTGACTGGAGAAGGATGGCTCTCCAAGATATTAGTTGGCCTTCCTCTTGGTCTGCTGCCTTTCTGAATAAAATCACTTTTCCTTGCCCCAACACCTTGTCTCCAGATTTACTGGCCTGTTTTGCAGTGAGCAGAATGAGTTTGGACTCAGAAACAAGGTCACCACTGCTATTT